TCAGATCATAGACAGCTAATTATTGCTGTTTTTCTGAAGGATTGGCCAGCTAAATCCATCTTGCCATATTTTAACTTTGAAATCCCAGTTCTGTTACTATTAACTTGCTACGAATAATTGATTTAAATGAGGATTTTGAAGTGAAACTGTTAATGAGCTGTCTAACTTTATTTTTGCTAATTATAGAGCTAAAGAGCAATTTCTGTAATTAGTGGGAATGTTTCTTGCTGACCGTTTCGGAAAATCAAATATCAGTAATGAAAGACAGACTTCTTTTCCATATATCTGTCAGCACATGGTTGAAAGTAGTTGATTAATAACCAAAAACCCAATTATTCTCACTAGGTTTACCCTACTCCTACTAAGCTGTGATGAAATAATTAACCGTGTCACTTAATTGCTCATGATCAACTTCGTACATGGACGTCAGTATGCTACTAAAATACACACTGTCCCCTCAACTTGTTACGATATAAATATTCCCGAATACGTCTATTCAATCTATGAGGCAATAGAAAAGGACTAGTCACTATTAATTTCACTAAACGGAATCGAATAGCTAAGCACATAAATAATTGCTCATGGCTTTTTGTTGGCCGAAATGTCATCAGATAAATTTTTTAAGTTCCAATATTACGTTATACTACTGTGTGACTTATCCTGCTATGTGGTTTTACCATATTATACATTATCTCCAGACATATTCAGGGTAAATGCTCTAAATCTGAAGAAAATACATCGTTATTTATCTAAAACATCAAATTTAGTACTTATTTTCACTTATTGAAATATTGCTCGAGTCAGCAGTATCTATTAAAACCATTCACGCCGTACCCAAAGGTTGACTAGTATTTCTCCAATAAATAAACGAAACTTTTGTATCTTCCACAACTTACAGCTACAAGTAAGATTATTTAAATCCAAATAAATGAAACTCGTTAATGTGAAGAAAATAATATAACAACTGAGAAAATCTCAATCATACTCGGTTCTGTAAACTGTCTAATATTGCATTCACAGTTTCCTCACCATATTGTTAACAAAATTTAGAAAGCGATAAATGACAGTTAATGCTAATGAACACCATCCACTTAACAGATAGACTGAGGAATGTAAATAATCATTCACTCCATCCTATTTATTTTCAAACGACTGAAAGTAATGTGTAAACTTACATTAACCAGACAGACAGGCGACTAATACACCAAAACACTTCAAAATCAACAACCCAAAAGCGGTTAAAAAGTAAAAAGACGATAAATCAGAAGCGCTTTTTCTATCTCAAATCTGAATGAATGCATGAGTAAATTCAGTACGTGTATAGTATTAAATAACCAGTAAAATTATATCGCTAAAAATCAATAGTAACGTATGTTGAACAAATGACAAATGAAAACTAATGATACGGATGTGTATAACTACAATAATAACAGTTAGATGAGGTTACAATGATATCGACTTCGACCATCCGTAATACGTTCCGTTATTAAGATTAAATTATTCGACTCATTAATACCCGGGTTGGCCTAGATCGACCTGGAATCAAACTTCTTATCTTTCTTCTCGATTTATTGATCTTCAAGGCAGTAAGTTCTTCTCAATCGATGTCTCTAATTTTTGTGGATCGATAACAGGATACTTACTTTCTGCTTGGTTCAGGTTGAACATGTCAAGTAATAGGTCAAGCGGTATATGTTCTTACTTGGCATGTGACTTCCCCGTACCTGATTTTGATTCATCTATCACCCCATGTTATGTGCCCACTCTGTCTAGTGCTATTCGCTGTCCGTGCATTGCATCTCCCTATTTCGAAATGCCTTGAAGTATGCTTTAACACTACGTCAGATTCCTCTAGAAAATTGATATAATTAAGAATAGTATCCCCCTCATATTAATGCTCTCCTTGGTGTTTTTGAGACGTTTCCGCTAGGTGTCATCCGATGTACGAACAGAAACTGACAGATAGTCTCCATTGGTGTTTATTGCCCTTCTGATTTTATCAATGTGCGATTGCAAGTATGGACAAACTAGGGTTTGATTACTGGTGAAGTTTCATGATTTTCTTAAGTGCGTACTATGTACCAAGTTTCGTTTATCATTCCCATCGTTCTGTCACAGTAAGTTGTTGCTAATAATGTCTGACCAACAGATTCGGAGTCTCTTGCGTAGACAATTGTTGTGGTAGTCCTGCAATTCCAGCAACGTACAAAGAACTCTCTTGAAGTTGGTATTAAAATTCCTGACGTGATATCCTTCAATTTTAGAAATGTAGCCTACGACTTGCTAATCTAACATCTGGATCAGAACCTTCATTTCTAAGCGGATATATAAAGGCTTCCACCTCTCCCAGAGCTTCATCACTGAATGTGATGTGATTGCTTTCTATGGTGTTGTATTTCAGGATCATGCATTTTCCCGCGTGTATGTGTAGGCCTACTGCTACAGAGGTTGTTGCATTTGTTGATGTGTTTAGAGTAGGTGGGCTAGGTCTTTTTATCACCAAACGACATACTCTCTAAATGAAGACTCATGTTCCGGGTAAATTTTAAGGTTTTTTGGCGAGGTCCATTTTCACTTGGTAAGGCTGCTTACCTCCATGTCCAACCCTCCTTTATCTGTAATTCAGACTGGTAATACCCCTAAAAGGACTCGAGACAAGGTCATCGTGGTTATTTAACCACTTATAACCGTAGCAGCTTCCTGATGTGTTGATGAAGCTGAAGTAGCCAACGTTCGCCGATATCAGTAGACTTAGTTTAGAGGCTGCAGTATTACAGATCCAAACTGAATTTTGAAGATAGCCGTCAATTTAAGGCGCTTATATGCCAAATTAGTTGTGACATGTACTTGATGACTGTCTTCATTTATAGATAGGGGATAAAAGAAACGGAATAACATTTCTACTGAGTTTTATATCAATATGAGAAAGCAATAAGACCAATGTGTAGAATTCTCTTAATGACAAGTAATTTACAATGATGCTGATTTCGGTTACAGCCCAATATCGTACGTCTCGTCTGTACACTTTCTTCGCATAGTTTTGCTTACTTATAAGTAGTTCGGCTAGATTGGTCGCAAAGCCATCCAATACAATTGAAACATCTACTTTTGGTACGTTGTCCAAATTTCTTAGTGTGTATTGACCCTCTGAAGCTTAATTATGCACAGCGATAAGAAACATTGATAACGTTCTTGATTTCAGACGATGATAGTATTGCGTGAGTGACATCAGACTGATCTTCTGAAAGAACTATGCGAACTTTCTTGCATGTATAATCTTTATAGCGTCAATTCCTCTAATCCTACACTTTTCATGAATGGCCACAAATTAGTCACCACGTGTGGAGAAATTCGAATACTTCACTTATACCTGAGATTTGTGCTGACGATGTCGTTCAGAAGAACAATGGAAGCTCCACGACTAAACCATCCAGCTCAGAGAACAAAAACTTCATCAAAATCACCCACCTGAGCTACAAATCTCCGCCATCTCATGGTCATCATCAGTTCACCATCTTTTTTTCCTTGTCAAAATATTTTATTAGGGATTATACTCGAATAACCTTGTAGGGATGTCCTTACTTTTGTTGTGCTTATTACCAAACTACCTTTTAAGGCTTTTCACATTTTTCTCTGAATGTCATCCAAGGCAAGCTACTATCATAAATTTTTTCGATTACTGCTTATCTGGCGGAACAAATTGTATAATAAATATTACAAGTGTAAGAAATAATTACGTTCATTGATACTGGTTAATATTTGCAGCTTGTGATTCACATAGAACTATGATTCAGTAAAAGATATGTCATTTCTGACTTTTACATTTACTCTTAAGAGTTTTTCTTTACCAACCAAGAAAACAAACAATACTTTCGGCCATACGATGTAAAATCTATGTAAATACACTAGACATTGAAGATGAGTAGATCTTTCCCGATTATTATTTAATTAATATTACTTAGAAACATTTAAACACACCACCACCGATCGCTTTTAATCATAACGTTAATAATTAAACCAAAAATATGTGCAAAAAACCTAGCACAAACAGTGCTTGGACTCAAAGACTACTTACACAATAAATAATTATGACTCGCAAATAAAAGTATGATTACGAACTAACTACATAAGAAGTAATCTTATCGTACTAGAAACCACAAAAACGAAACATCGTATATAGCATAATTATAGTAATAATTTTCGTATTGATTATTTTTATAACAAGTATATCAAGAGGTTTCGAATCTAAATTGTAAATGTTTGTATATATTGAGAGAAGTGAATAATGTAGAAATATTTTCCGACAAAAAAGTCAGTGAACAAGATCATGAAGCGAATGTCGGTTGAGTTTAAAACATACAGACAGAAAAAACAAAATTAAATCAGTATCTCACTGTCAACTTATTAAATTGAAAGTAACCTAAAATTAGATCAACTTCTGTTAGTATTATTATCACTTCAAGTGTACGAAAAGACATGTCTACACTTTCGTAAACGTTCTTCAAAGTTATCAAACATTTAACAGTAAAAAACATACAGTAACTGAAATGAAAGGAAGTGTATGACATCCATTTATCTTCCATTTCTTAATATTTTATACAAAATGAACAGTTAATTCCTTCTGTAACCGAATAATTGATCAAAGAAAAGATCAAAATACTGAATAAATTTTGGAACGAGACAAATTAAAAGAAAATAACGTTGAGAAAACATGATTGACGGCAAACAAGCCAGTTCAGTTTTGGTTCTTATAAATCCTAGAGGAAGACATTCGATTATTGAATAAACATCAGTACAAACATTGATCAAAACAAAAATAAGAAAGATAAGTTCAAAAGATGAAATTAGTAGGTATCTATTTTTCAGGCAAAGTAGAAATCAAAATTCATGTGATGGACAGTTTTATCTAAATATATCTATCCTTAAAATAAAAAACACCTAAATATCTTCTGAGATTTGGTAGAGATAAACATTTTCCAGGAGGTATTACTGGTTTAGTTCTAAAGTGTGGAGATAGTAGGAAATCCTGTGACACTGGCCAGAGCGGAATTCAATGCCATACTTCGATTAGCCGAAATGGCGAACAAAGGAATGTGGTAATACTTACATGGTATACGTGTGCATCGACCTTTAGCAGCATCGCGACATACAGTCACACGTCCTTGATTAACTTCCACATTTTCTATTAAGTTGGGGAAAAATAGTAATGTTAGTTCATTATAATCAGTGACACTTTATCTTAAAAGAGGGAAAATAAATGTGAATAGAGCAAAAGTAAACCTTAAGGTATTGGATGGTCTCGCAGTAATCCTCGTTGCAGTTACGTAATCTCAACATATTAGTACTGAGTCTGAAAGTAAATACCTTCAGTTTCTGTAAGGGAAATTACTTTTACTTAAGAATCAAAAGAAGTGGAGTATCCATAATGTCGAGGTGAAAAAGTGAAGCATAGCTAGACTTAGTTATTGTAAATAAAACTACAGAATTCACGTTATATATATATATATATATATATATATATATATATAATAAACTTGTATAAAACATTTTACTTACCGTCAACTAGATGAACGTAACGGCATTCTGAGTTACGACGACATTTGCCAGCTTTAAAATCACGACATATTGGCAACGTTTCCAACAACTGAAATCAATTCCGAGAATATTCTTTTAATTGTATGAATTGTTCATGAAACCAGAGTACAAAACAATAAATCATCTCACCTTCACTGATGAAAAACAATACATACTTCATCCTTTGATTTAAAGACACTATACGACAATACTGTTATACTTGTTGCCTGAGTGCCCTGTTAATGGATAAGTAACGATACTGCCAATTAGAGAGCAGTGACTTATCGATTGGATCAATGACGCGTAAACCCGTATGAGCAGTCTAGAGTCCTGATTCCCGTCTAGCCCAGCCAATTAAGTCCAGAACACCAATCCGAGCCTCTGCGATATGAATCATTTATCTCAAGCATACGGGGTTTATATACCAATCAAACGTACCATAAAATAGAAAACACGATTTGGCCAAATGTGGCTGTGAATATGGGAGGCAGTGACTAATAGAGAGGGCATAATTCAAGAATGGTAAAACGTATAATAATGGTTCATAGGTCAAAATAAAGCTTATAATAAGAGGAATATGAATAGTTTAGTTATTTAACAATTACATGATAAAAATATACGTTTGGTAATGGTCCATAAATGGATCCCAAAGTTACCATTCATTATGCTTATTGGGACTTAACAAATACAAAGTCAGGCTAGACAGTAAGCTGAATAATTCATTTTAAAGGTTGTACGAGTGAAATACAACCTGATAACCACAAAATTTATATAATCAACAGTATACAACATTAACTGCAAATGATATGCTACTAATTTAATCTGAAAATTATTTTAAGTTTCTCATGAAATCAGCTTAGTGTATATTTCCTATTGTAAAAACATACAACCGTGGTTCATCTACTTAACCATTTAGATTTATAAACTCAAAGTTCACTTTTTAAGATTTCGTAGTTGAATATTATTCGACTACACTTACACATAAGTGTCACCTTATAATTTAGTCCCTTAAATACCTAAGACATACGAAGTTTGATTAATACATATGAGCATATAACAAGTAAACCACATTGTATAATATGGTTATAAAGTTTACCAACCTAAATGAACAATGTCTACCTAAAGCCACTACAGATCGTTTTAGACACTATTTGTGCGCGTCGATTAACTTCACTATTAATTTAGTCTAAAATGAAAGCTCATGTCAGAATATAAACGGAAGAAGACAGGCTTACATGGCCTTTTTCATTAATGTAAGCCACATTGGTCATTGGATTCTGTGAACAAAAGCTGGTTCCATATAGTCCAGACGAAAGATGTCCTAATGCACCTGGAACCGGACCTGAAATATAAATATTGAGCAAATGCTTTGAATACTAGTCGATAAGTATTGTTAAGAATAAAAACTCATCGAAAGGATGATAATATATTAATCAAAACAGATATAATGACTAGACTAGGGATTGAACCTAACCAAATGATCATGCACAATATTTAGTATTTGTGTATATGAAAATAAAAGCATTCAAACTAACCGGGTCATATGGATTGTAAATGACTGCAAAATATCTAACATTCAGACTAGAATGTAATTAGCTATCGTACATGCAAAAAACAGATGAAATAATATCATAGAGCGTGTATACATTCGAAATGAATAGATACAGGCTATATAAAAATACTCGATTAGTTATAACCTATATAATCAACTGTCTATAAATACACAATATTATTTGAAATACATAACTAGGTTGAATTACCGTTCTTTCTAAATAGTCATAAGTCAATCATTTTTAATTTTTATCGATTTCGATACTACAGTATTACGAAGGATATTTTGATCAGGTTTATCTTCATAACTATTCAAGGTAATTTTTACCTAAAATTTATACTGTTATATTTTAGTACACGTCAAAATGAAAGAAATATCAGTTATTTGACATACTTTAAAGTATTAAAAAATGTGGGTAAACAAGAGACTATGTTTGTTAGATATAACACTGAAAAAGTGTTCAGGAAAATACGCTAGTATATCAATAATAATAATAATTCCAAGTAAACTCCGAAACTATATACACTAAAAGCCATCTTTTGGTAATTTGTGACGAACAGTCAAACATGACTTCTAGAAGACATAATAAATAGATTAGAAATACTCAGCAGCATGGTAGCTTAACTAGATACTACATAATAAAATAACGCCCTGGTACGGCCGAGGGTGGGGAGAGTTAGCTCTCCCTCTCGAAATGCTCTGCATATGGCCACGCATATACAACCAGGGAAGTCTTACTCACTACCTTCTCGCGACCGGGGTGTTGTTTAAGAAATTTAAAGGACGAAAAGCGAATGTCCGGAACTCTAACTAGGTTGGTGGATATGAAGGATCCACCTAAGGGATTTGGAAAACCCTGATCTCAAACCAACGGTGCGCATGGGCTCCAGGATCCTGAGGGAACAAATGGTGTACGAATCAATTATTGATCACCGGCTACCATGGGACTGCATCTCTTAACTTTGCTCCACTGACTTATGTATTAGACCTTTAGGTTGAAGACTCGGGTTGTGGCCTCTTAAGGAAACCACCTGCTTCGCTTTGGGCGTCTCGGTAGTATTTCAGCTCGTGTGATGCATATATTCGGTGCCCCTTCGTACCAAGATTCATGCGTTCAAATAAATAAGATAGTGAAAACTTGTGTGAAATGTCTTTGTGTTCCTTCCCATCCCACTTTAGATCACGCTATTTTCATGAAAGTTTTTGATTTTATCCATTTAGGCAGAACAAAATAGATGAATCAACATTCGAACCGCTAAACCATTAATTCTAGAGAAGGGTGAAAATGTATTCTAATAATATAATTCTTTTTTTAATGGATAGATTTTGATTAGTGACGATGTTTGCAGGCAAAAAATTCTACTGTGGATTTCCGGAAATATGTGCGGAATTTATTTCAAGCATATTATGAACATATAGTATACGATATCTTAATAGTGAGCCGAATGAACTACATCTATATTTAACAAAAGATAAAGTTTGAAAGGATGACAGTTACATGAAATGTTTGAACGTCATTGGATGTAAATACGTTATTCAAGTTTCAAAAAAAATAACAACTACGAAAGCATAATCATACCAGTGTGGCTGAAATAGCCTACAAAATGCTTAATAACACGAGAAAACTTGGAGACATTACAGGGACTCAGTGCATACGATACAAAGGAGCATAAAATATTTAACTTCAGTGTATACGGTGATTCATTAAAGCATTTAAAACTTATGCGATTACATCACATAAACCGATTTCCCGGTCAAACGGTGCTTTAATTAGTATCAGCCAAACATTTGCATCTTTTAAATTGGATCTTACATAAATGTGCCAGGCCTACGAGAACTGCCTAGCTTGTTTATTTTAGTAACACACAAACATGATGGACTATAGCTAAGATACTGCTAGATCATTATAAGATGAAAATATACAAAACGATTATTTCATATTAAAGTAATAAATAAAGAAACCTACAAAAGCAACTTAAATCATGGGCGAAGTCGTTATAGTATTTTCTCAACTGGAAACAATGAAAAGTCTATGTATGTACGGTATGACGTACAATACACGTCAAAAGTAGGAACTAGGACATGTATACATAAACGGTTGTTTGGTAATAAAATAATTAATCAGATAAGAAACGTGGTATAACATACATGATGAATCCAGAACGCAGCCATGATTTTGAAGATTGGGGATCGGTGGTAATCGTGAAGTGTCGTTTTGTGACAAATAGCCCGCTGCTGCCACTTGTGCAGCAGCTAGATGAGTTTGTTGACTTCGAAGGATAAGTGACAACAACAGAGCTTGTTGCTGGTGTTGAAAAGTATTATTCGAAGCGTTTGCATGAACATCATGAGCTGGAGGTTGATGGGCTGCTGCTAAAGCTGTGGCGGTCGCTAAGGTAGAAGATGGTAAATATGATGAATACAAGCCAGACCCAGATAACTGTTGATTTGATACTGTCGACAACTGAGTTCGTAACAACTGATGAGACTGCAGTTGTTGTTGCTGTTGTATTAAAAAGTTATTTAGCGCTAATGCTGCAGCTGCTGAAGTTATTGGATTAGACGCGTCACAACCATTGTTCATGGAATATAACGGTGGATATATGAATTGTGATGGAGTGTAAAGTGATGCAGCAGGTTGTGAAGAAAACGGAAGACCATAAATACTCATACTCAACGGATTTAGCATATTCGTTACCTCAGGATTAACATGAGATGTTCCTATATCTGTACAAGAATTTATTGGGGTAAACCCAGGACTGAAAGACCCACAAGTGAAAATAACAGGAAACGAAGCCCCAGAATCAGGCATATGACATTTTGTTTCACCATTTTGGCAAGACCTTTCCAGTTTTTCGTCACCGTTACATACGACAGTTGATTCTTTATTTTGACTTGTTCCGTCTAATGAAGATGAGGTAGACAAATTTGCTCGTTTTGTAGGTAACCATTTCTATTGCGTTGAAAAAAGTATTCATACTTAGAAATAAAATAACTTTCAAAAATACAATGCAATAAAAATGTCACTGACAAATTCATACCAATAATAAGTTGCATAGTAGTTGATGTCTGTGTAGTATTCTTTTTTGAACTCATGAATAAACTGTTCACTTGAAAGATCGATAATTTAGTTCATGTTTTCTAAACACAGATTCGTATACTCAGGGCTTTGAGTTACACTTTCTATGAAGGCCAGCGATACAATGCGATCGCCTAAACAGAAGTAGAAAGAGCGCAACTCGAACCTGGGGATTTAGTGGTTGAAAGTCAAACAACTTGAGTATCAAAACGTTGTAACACATTTAAAAGGATGAATAAATAAACAGTAAATACATAACTAAAGAATCAAATGTCTGACTTCATTAGGTTTCGCAACCTTGGAGTCTAGTATTGTATACAACGTATGGAATCGTAAACACATGTCTAGTAATGAATGGTTCCCAGTTGTTTTGACATAAGTTTCAGGAGAAAAAAGTATCTTCAAAGTAGTGGAGACAAAACCCATCAATGAGACTCTTTGCTCAATTACCTGATAGAATGATAAGATTGTTCATTAGCTGCATGAAACTAATAATCCCTACTACTGGAATCACTGCACGAAATATTTGTTTAACTTTTTTCGTGTTAATTATAAATAATTCATTTTGCTATCTGGCGTTTAATAAAGCTTTGAAGATAGCCATGGGAGCAGTCGATGATCTCCCTAAATTGTATATATTATCTGCGTAGCCTTTTATTGTACAAACTGAATAAAGGAAAACATTTTGTGGTTTTAAGTGATGAACTACTAAATTTTGTTTTATCGATAAACAAAAACGGTTTCCAACTTATCTAGGTCAGATAAATCCTAGATAAACGTTAACATTGGGGGATGCTCAGTTTCCGGTACTTATGATAATAAGCACAAAATGTATTTTCAATACTTTGTTACTAGGAGATGATTTTCTTTCAAACTGATCAATAAAATGGAGGGTTGCAGAAAAACTAGATAAAATAACAGATGTTTTTTTATGTAAGATAAACTTTAGTCACAATTGATTGATCACTGGGTGGTGATCAATGTCATGCTTGTCTAGTCCTTATTAGTGCAGATCAAATCCGCCAGGGAGCACCAGTTCCCTCAAGATTTACAGGTACACCTTGCTGACGAGTGCCAAGTAGCACGAAACCCGGGTCCAGGGTTTCCTGTTGACTACCTCCAATCACCATCTAAATAAACTTTAGTAGAAGTTAGATGAAATATTTTCAGTTATTTTACTCAAATACGCATCAAGTTATCAGAAGTATGACAACTATAACATTCACGTATAAAATACGCACATAACTTCATACGCGCACAGAAGATGAAATGGGTGGGTAAACACTCAAGTTATCCATGTATTATAAATATAGATAATTTTCTCAAACTGATAAATCAGACGATGATTCTAAAATGTTAAGGTTATATCAATTACCATCAGACTGTAGTGGATCATAAATAATCCAGTTAAGTACTATAATTTTATGTGTAAACGGATATCATTATGGTTGCAAATGCGATAAAAAACGAAAATACATACAAAACTGAGGAATGTTAATATATAGGTAAATGGTGTAAAAAGATATTGCAAAGCTTTGAATAGTTATTCGATGCTAGTCATCCTCCAGAATAAAGGGAAATTGCGATTATTGATATGCTAATTTCAAGATACTAATTACAAGCTATTTGGAAATCATCTAATCAGTCCGAAATATTAATTAAAAACTACTAGTGTGAAAATATGGCTACTAAGGGGGTTAAATATACTTTGTCACTCAAACTAGCACCAATAATAACAGTACTTTGTTAGTATTGATCTAACTTTTCATCCATCCTACTTTTTTTATTTTTCACCATCCGACAAATGGATTACCGTATGAAATATGCGTCAGTGTGTAGTAGTATTTTAACTCTCTGTATGGCTAGAACCTTCAGGATAAAACCCGTGAGCTTGTTTTTGCAGTTTAAAAAATTAATAAATTTTACAGTTTGAGGAAATACAAACTAATTACAGCATCGTTTAACCGCATTTAAACTAGAAAATTATATTGGTCCAAGGGAATCAGAATAAATCCAGTAATCAGAACTTTGCACCATAGTTAGAAATCTAATGGAATATTAAACAATCTGTCGAATGAGCCTGTAGGAAACATACTTTTTAAAAAAAATAAAGCATGCCAACATGCTGCAACAAAAAATTGTTGCTAGGGCTAGCGAAAATAACCGTGTAATTGGAGTTAAAACTTTATAAAGTATACGTATGTTATATACTATAATTAAAATAAATCACTATGAAGCCAAAAAAACGTTAATCAGGACATATAATGAAACAAGAAACAACAATTAAGTCGAACACAAAAACCCAAGCACATTAATTTTAAAGCAAAGCCAACGAGCAAAAACTGTAACTAAAAATTTAAAAAGTGAACCACCCACATGCATTTCCAAGTCATTTTCAAAACTTCCAGAAGCAATATTAGCCTCACGTTTCATACCGGAACGAATAAGTGAGGTGAAGGGATTAGCAGCAGTATTACTGGCAACTTCAGAATTACTTGTTACAATTGAAGAAACATAATTATCGACAGACGTAGTAGGAATGAATGCAGCTACAGTTGAAGGGAGATTAGCAGCATTGGTTTGCTGCTGTTGAACAGATTGGTATTGTTGTATTTGACGATTTGACATCGGATTCGCCAAACATGTTACAGCATTGTAATTATTAAAGCTTAAGAATTTTGACTGAGATAATGTGGAATTAAGCGCAACAAAAAACGAGCAGCTCATATGCGCACACATGTAGGACCAGCGCCCATGAGTAAGCAACCAAGCGTCACCAGAGATGAAGATATATATATATATGTTGTGAGAGTAAGGAAGGAGTGAAAGTCAAATCAAGAAAGTGGAAAAATAAGAGCCACAAAAATACTGGTAAACAATCAAGTAATTTAAAGATTAAAAAATTACCAAGGTTGAATTATATATATATAATGATTACTTTACCCACATTATAAAATATCGGTTAGTATCAAGAAATCTAAAGTAATATTGGTCTAATATAGAAGTAGTGAGGCCATAATGAACAATCTAGAATAAGTGGATGGAGATAACTAGCGGTTTATGTCATGTATATTAGAGCAACACAACGATTAAAGATGTGTTCAACGACTGGTTGTATGTGATTATTCTATTCAAATTATGACAGCAAAAAGTAGTTTATTTGTTAAGATGTTCAGCAGACACTTTTACTCATTCATGCAGATAGCTTGTTAAATTGCTGCTACCATTAAGCTCGTAATTTGTAACCACATGATTTTAAAACATTAAGGAATACAATACAATATCTGAACTTTTTAGAAAATATATACAGGATAACCAAAAGCTGCTGCTTTGCTGTACTTGATGGGTTTACCGAATGCATCGATCCAATCAGAGTATTATTTAACAAGTTGCCTGCTCTGTGATAGCCTGGTATTCCGAATTTGACTGAAGATTAGTGGGGGAGAAAGAAATTATCTACCTAACCATCAAAGTCACTATGCGAGGAATATCCTAACCCTTAACATGTAGAGACTAGTTTAATGCTACGACGCAATGAAACACTCTGACCACACAATTCCAGTAAGTTAAGACCACGAAATAAAGCCTAAAACACAAGTATATACTACGCTCATGTGTGAAGTTAAACTAAAAACTTCACCATGTATAATATTTGATCTCAATTAGAACTTAAAAACTTTTGCTGGTCTGCTACTAATTTAATGTACCATTCAATTTACAAATTCTACGCCTGATTAAATGTTTTTTTTCTTAATCTCAATTAGATTTGCAATCATAAATCACCCTCTATTTTAGAAATTAAATACTGGTCACAGATGTAATGTTACAAAGACTAGAAGTAAATGAAATTTATTGTGAAGCAGTGCATATAAACCAGGTTCGTTAAAAAGAATTAAGTTTCTAAAGTCATTCTTCACCTGTTATAGTGCACAGAACAAGTATTGAAAATTCTAGACGTGTCCAAGTCAGTCTTCGATAATGAATGATACAACTGGTATGCTTAACTCAAAAAAAATCAAGCAGTGAGTGAAATGGTATACTACAAATTTTACAGTCACTGGCTACATTATAGGAAGTAGATTTAGACTATTTTCTTCCACATCAATAAACAGAAATGTGTCACACCTTACTCTTGAGGAGCCGGTTATCTTACTGATCAAAATTCTTTTCCCAAAAAAATATGATCATATAAACATTCATTTTGGAGGATTTTTCTCTAACAAAGTCTCTTTTCCTCTACAATGTAATTTAATTTAACTAACATGACTATCCACTAACTAATCTCGAAATTTAAGATAGAAAAAAAAAACAGTTACTGAACAATAAACTACTCGAAAACAATAAATTGTAGTGTGTGTTTATACATTCACCATAATTTTTGATCCCAGAATCCACCCTTAAAGCAAATAAACAACTAAATATGCGAGCAAAATACAAATGCTTTAGCTTTCAAGATGTTACAACACTAAACACATGTTAACAATGAATCAAACCGAAGCAACATTAAGGAATACGAGCAAATAACATATATCAATACAAATATGAACATCTATAAGCCATTATGAAGTATCAGTACTAAAATTGTGACTCACCTCAGAATCAACTGATGAGGACGTATCATTATTGATTGTTGACTTTGAAATAACCGAATCATGAGGAAATATTGAGCATGAAGATAGTGTAGATGATGTTGGTAATACACTGGCAACTTGATTTGCCTGTTGTAAGACAGCTGCTGCTGCTAATAATGCTGATGCACTAAGAGATGTCGGATCAGGTACAGAATTTAGAGGAGTTAGATATGTTCCATGAACTGATCCTCCAACAGTTGACTGGAGTAATGTAGTAGGTGGCCATCTAAGACTTGAAGGGCAACTAGCTACTGAACTGAGAATGGGTAAACCAGTCGGTAGCGTCTGCTGCAGCGGTTGCATTGAAATGAGATTGGAAGTCTAATTAGGATAGTACAAAATAAATCTGATCAAATGTTTAGGATTGAAAATTTCATATTTAACTGTCCATTGATACACTGACAAAATTTAAAAATATTCCGAATGACCAGATAATCCACTTTTAAAAAATACTATCCAACGGTCTAAGTTGACAGCAGTGGCACAGATAGCTATTATAAAACAGATTATGAAGTTACCATATCATTAGAAGTAAAAAATAGTTTAGTTTATGGCAAGTAGAGATGAGTTGAAAATACTATTAAGATGTTAGTATACACATACAAACATGCTGCACACCCACACAAAAATATTACGATTTCAGTACTGAATGCGATAAAATAACTATTGTTCATACAGTAATATTATTATTGTGTCGTGACTGTTGTCGTTAGTACATTTTAGTACATAAAAAAAACACAGAACCTGGTTAATAGTTATGCACTTCTAACACACACACACAACACATAAGTGTCGATACGCACACACAAAACCGACAGAAATAATGGTCAGTAATATGAATAAATAAAAGGGGTGCTTGTATGGGTTGGATCCGAACCGATAGACAGGCAGTTAATCTACCATATATGTCAATGAATCATCCTTCATTTAAGGTCAGACTGGTACTGCTCACTCAAAATAAAGATGTGAATCAGGAAAAATCAAAAATACTAAGAGGGGGGACGGAGCAAGGGACCAAACAGCTTAAGTAAATATACACGCTATATCATGCAATCTTTTCAAGAGAACCAATGTCGAAACAATGAACAACCATAAATTGAAAAGTATTTATTTAGTAAGTAGATGGGTCTTAAATTTACATAGGACTACAAAGACATTGGATATTAAATCCGTTGGATTGCGGCTCAGTGATCTACTGGATGTGTCCGCGCGAGACCAGAGGTCCTGGGTCCGAGTCCCGCGTGAGGGATCATGGATGTGCATTGCTGAGTTCCACAATGGGACGAAATGGCCGTTCAGTGTTTCCAGATTTTCAATGGTAGTCTAACGTTGATCGGTTCATGATCTCAATTAAAACTACAAAGAAGCCGGATATCAATAGTTTTAGCGTACAGTTTGATTGTATCGCATGTTGAAGTTTTATCACTGGAGGTCTGCACAAATCCGCAGATCAGTCAGAAACATTTTTGTGGATACACCACCATAGACGGTAAATCAAGAAATTTATACAAAATAAACAAACATTTTTTCAAACCAACGAGTATGAAAAGTCTCTGGTCCAAACAGATTATTACCAGTTAACTTACTCTTAACTCAGACAAACGTTGTTGATTTTCCAATAGTTTCCTTTGTTCATCGCCACGTTTAATAATAGCTTCGATTTGGTGTGGCGGGGGGTGATAATATTTACAGTGAGAAAACTTGCAGAGTTTCCTCTAAAACAAACAATTAAAGACTTTGTGAACAAATTACAGAATGGTACACATTAAATGCTAATGTGGACTAACAAATACATATGATGAGCGATATTAAAGGTATGTCACTTGTAACTTCTTGATTGTTTACGCTGTGGCAGAATACTTTTTTGAAGAACCTGAAAAAACAGTTGACCAAGGACAGCTGTTGAAGGCCAGCCACACACGATCTATTTGCGAATAGTTTTGGGGGTATTAGGTCAGTGCTTGTTAGACCTTATGGCACCAGAAATCTTATAGGGTAAGTATGCTATCTTAAAGAAAGATTTCCACCTCATATCGTTGTGAGAAAATTGAGTCATCAGAGGTGCTGTTTATCTGAAAAAAACATTCTACTTATCCCATATTCCAGTACTGTAGGCAGCAAAACTTCGACATCGGACAGTACATTTGTTGCTTTTGGTCTGGCCACTCTCCAACCGACCCACCTATCACAGTGAAGTCCAAAAAAAATTCGATATAGCTCAATTAATGCACTATAATATGTAAACCCGCCTAGAATACCAATGTACAAGTTACGATATATATGTGTACATATAAATGTAACAGTAAGGAAGATTCAAGAAGACATTACAGTCAATTTGACCATAAACACCATCCAAATATATCTCTTGATAATAGCTATATACACAACTCGAGTTCCATGGAATTGATAATTACATTTACATAGCCCACACAAATAATTCCAACAAAAAGTGTAGTGACAAGTGATACATGATGTTTAACACCAACTTTCCTAATCGACAATACGTTTCGCTAACCATACAAGAGTAAACCAAATAGAAAATCTTTTCAGTAAATTCGGAAGCAGATCATCAACGGTTCATTTAAATAATTCCTTAAACAAACAGCCAAATTATTCGGGTCACCCGACACTGGTTAACTGATTGAAACCGATTGAACAGCTCCCAAATAATCTCTACAGTAAACAAAGAAATTCCTTTAAAGAAGGATTTTTGCCACCTCATGCTCAGTCGTCTTAGAAAGTTACATCGTAACAGTCAATCGTTTCAGTACTTCTAACGACTACATAGTATGAGCAATATACATATTTCACATACCATGTCAAAGAATTCCAGTGATTTAATCGTCTATGGGACATTTTGCTTCTCTAGGTTGGCTTTTATTCAGTTTCAATAAATAACATCAAGATCACAACAAATCAGTCGAAACATCACAACACAACTGGTGGCTAAACACTACAAAAACAATACAAGTGTACTACTATAAATGAAACATTGTATAACTGAACAGTACGGGCACACTCACTTTAATGAAGTCGTAACATACTGTTACATAGCCATTTTCTACTCGGACAGTTACAGGTGGGTGGGCGTAAGGACATGTACTTCCCAAAACACAGCAATGAAAGCTTGATTCATTTTCATTTTGACAGCTTGCAGTAGATGAACACTCATTTTTGTACTAGTGTCTTCCAACTTTATAGAACATTTATTTTCAATGTCCATAGGCTCTTTCTCAGATCTGATAGTATTATTTTGCAAAGGTGAGTTAGATATTCCCAAAACTGATGTACATACACGCAGCTTAAGCCACCGTGAGTCTCTGGAGCCAGAGGAAACATGGTTTGAGTGTACAGATGCGGGAGATGTCGAAATTTGTTGATTAGTTACACAACTGTTGGGGGCGGAATGCAGAGAAACTAAAGATGATGATAATGAGGACGATCCTGATAAGTTAGGGCTGTTTGCATTTCCGAATGTTAAATTTTGCTGATGAGCTTGCACTCGTGATGCTGGTTGGATAGAAAATGATGTGGGCGCAGACCCTGGAATATCATTTGTATTTGAGAAGCCTGCAATCGCTAGTAATGGCTTTGTAAGGAGTGGTATTGCAGACTGCAGAACAGTAAGATCTGGTTTAAAACATTCATTACATTCCGATGTGCTAGTCGTGGAACAATTGTTTGGAAAAGGATTTGAAAGTGGAGAATGCCTTTCCAGAGAAAGTGAACAGAGAAAAAACATCATGTACGGTTAATGGAACTGATAACTACAGGATGAACATTCCATAAATATATTAATGATGATAACACAGGAATAGTCAGAACTCATTATCTTTGAACAAAAGTTTTTCACTCCCAACAGGTTCAGGTAAAAATAAAAAGACAATTACAACTTGAATTTTTACTTGGGATGCATAGTATTAGAATTACTGACTAGAAATAACATTTTATTAACTTTGTTTACAAGAGTATCACACATTATGAACACTAATATGTCACTTAAGAGAAACTGATGTTATGTTATCTGCCTGTCAGTGCTAATGATGCCTGGGCAGGTTAATAGGTCTATAATCCCGGATCTAGGTAATATGAATTAAAAACCGAAAGAGTATTCATTTCTTTAAAATTGTACATATGCCTACTTAATGAGTATAGTTCGACAAAAAAACAGGTATAAGGTTTCCTAACTATTCCTTATAATAATCTAACAACCTAATATCAAACAAACCTTACTATTTCACTAGGATTGAAGCACAAAATAGTCCATCTAAAGGATTTAAAATCTAAATTAATAAACGATGGCTAGTACACAGACACGAATGGATAGAATTTAGATTCACTCAATGGTTTGGTCATAACAGACTTAAAGTAGGACATGAACGCAAACATAAATAATTAAGAAATGAAAATGATTTATAATAATTAATCGAACTACCAAAGCATGAAAATTTGATATCAAGCTAAGCAAAAAAAGTCTCAATCACACTAAACTAACCTTTCTAAAAAAAAACACGGATTCGAGCCGTACAATACAGAAATCAGACTTTAAATGAAGCCACGAAATAGATGCTCGTTTGAAAACAAATTTCGTATGTCCTAACGAAGCATGTACATACGTACCAGGTTTCACGCTGTGACTGAATAGTTGGTCGAACAGTTGGTTATAGCCAATAATTATATATTAAAATCAAGGACACAGAAAATCCCAGATCTCTATACATTTCAGTCCAAGGTTAGAAAGTGTGTAAAGACATGCCCTGTGCTGCAGGACTAAACTTAAACTATCATGAAATGTGCAGTAAATATTTCTTGATATGGCAACAATCAACTAACTAGAAATATATCTCAGAAGTGACAATTTACCTACTGAGTATTGGTTTCTCCATACAATTAGAATAAGGATTTCGAACCACTGCAATTATAATCCCGTTTCACAAATTTTTGTTTCAGTGACAAATGACTAACAATGATTCCAAAGCTTAATGTTATACAGTCACTTTAGAGGATTCTTTACTCGTCTAATTTTCATAAAGCCGCTTTTTTACAAAAAACAAGACGTGGACAATACGGCGTGAATATGTTGGTCATTGAAGGTCAGTCTTTCCTTCTCAATTGATCCTATATATAGTACCCTAGATTTACTTTTGATTTGCTGATCTAGTGATAATTGTGACGAGGTTAGTGTCGTACACAATCAAATCTATGTACTCGAGTCCTTACTAAAGCTTTCCTACATATGCAACCAAAATTAAGAGGCAAGTTGAGTGCGAATACTCGAATCGATCGACACACAACCGCCCACTAAGTCTGACGACAATCCTCACCAAAAATCCTGGACGATGTATGAAGCGCCCTCTTCTGCTTAGATTACTTAGCGGCATTTATCAGTCGCGATTACAATCGAAGTAATGGATGTGTAACTGTTTATCGAATCCCAAAGTTAAGGAACCAAAGTAGTCTAAACAACCAGTACCGATGTTTGTAGTCTTTAGGTAATAGAAGAGATTTCAGTAAATTCCATATTCTTGGTAATCTGTACGCATTCCAAAGCTATCTATATCATTTCGAACCTACTTATTAAAGAAATAAAAGTATTCTGTTTAACAGAAGTTGGAAAAAGAAAGCAATATTCGTTCTTTAGTTTCACTGGCCCACCATGTTGACATACTGGATGCTATTATCTAAGCTTGGCATGTATATTTACCCTTCACACAAGAACGACAAAATTTGTTCCAAAATATTCAGCGAAGTATGAATCTTCACTATCAAAGAATCGTGATTAGGTGTAATTAACCAAAAATGGATTACTTGCCAAATTGATTGTTCTCAGTAAGTTATTTAAGACAAAAAATCTCATGTAAATCAAAAGTTTGTTGTTTCAGAAAATAGATTAACCGGCTATGTAAACAATAATCCGTAGAACTAAGTGTTCTGGCATAAAAACGTTATAAACATTGGTAATAAATGTCTGAATAATTTGAGCGTTTTAACTCACAACATGGGTATACACAACCGCAAATATCCTTGATGTAATATGGCTCAATAAATTTTAATTATCCATAAAGAGAACAACAAGAATTTCGACTTCAGCTAACCAAATATGTGGTTAAGTCCAACGTTTATCCACACGATTAAGGTAGACGAAAATGTTTATTTGCTAAGTGGCCTCAATGGGGTCTGACCCGGTGTTTGATTGGACGAGAAAAATGTTAAAACATGCAGCACTCAATGGACCATGAACTTCAAGTGAGATATCTAGACATATCTCTATCTTTCTGATTGGCTAAAGATTCATTCGATGAACTCTCTAGCCTTCAATATTATTCATCTATTCTTAACTTGAATTTTACCAAGTTAAAAGTCATCCCCCTATGTTATTTAATCACACTTGAAAGTTGTGTGTACATCGGACACATTTTTGCCTCTCCCCCTTTAATGAAATCAGCATCCTAGTAAGATAGTTCTATTTCATTGGTTGTATAAACATGGTCATTAAAATCGAAATACATATGATAGAATTATTTCAATATGTTCAGATTGATGTTCTTGGTTGACATTAAGTGACCGGCCTATATGATTCCCTACCACCCCTTTTAAAAAAATTGTGGGGTGTGAATGAAAAATTTAGGTATCGTTGATTGGTGGACTTGTTTTGCAAGTGTGTGCTCAAGTGATAATGAACAAACATTTTGTTATCTTTAATAATTTTTTGATTGGTCGTAAACGGTTCATCTTTGTAATCTGATTAGTTGAAATCGAAATCGCATCTGGAGCTGTGATTGGATGTCAGAATTTTCATTTTTGACATTTGAAATTTAATGATAATGAATAATCCTTTTTGTGTAATCTTAGTCTTGAAAAAAATTTAGACTTTTGAAGAAAAAGACACCAACTTAATTGCATTACCGTGCAATCCTACTGTTAGTGAATGTGTATTGGGATCAATTTTTGTTTTCCGATCAAGTATACCTTGAATTGAAGTCGTTAATTATCTGAACACGAATAATTATATGTATCTCAGTAAAAGAAAGTTTTTGGGAAAAAGCCACCGAAAACCGGTTTGAATATTTGATAATAAGGATTACTGAATGAGGTCAGTAGTCAAATATTTAATACCAAATTAATAAACAAATTATCACCAAAGTGTGTGCACAGGTTTTTTTGTAACACATGGTGTGTTAATGGGAAAAAGAAATCAACATATCAATAAATCATTATGATAACTTACTGGTTGCAATATGTATAATTCAGGTGAAGCAATCATAGACCATCATTTAATGAACTGACTTAGACAGTATATGAAAGTAGTAATAAATTTTCCGAAATAGACACTTAATATTTAGTAAACGATTATTTTGTAAATGGTCATTCATAATGAGAATTAGAAAACGTTAGATTTCAATGCGGTTAATTTGGAAATCCATTGAAACACGGTTCATTATTTTCACTTGTAAATTATTTGCAGTTCTGTATTTTAAAATTAATTTTTTGGTCGTTATAAAAACTAGTGTTTGTTTAATCAGTCATGTGTGAATATTGTTAACCGCCGTAATATGAAACCTGAATTATCTAGACATTATGAATGTAACCATTTTTGACAAGCATTTGAAATATCAGTTTCATGAAGTGTAAATGAACAAGCCTACGTCGTCGGACTGAGTCAACAAATATCTATCGACTTTAAACGTATAAATATGAATAAGGTCAACTGTATCAACGAACATTTACAATGTTATTATTATTTAATTTCCTTATTATTATTATTATTATTATTATTATTATTATTATTATGTCAATTGACAAGATTCAATTCTTGTACTATGTATTTCATTGACACCAATTTTTTTGCATTTTCAATTTTCCTATTATGCTTAGTCACTTACTGTGACTGAACACTTTACTGCAAATCATCCCGATCTTTAGTGAATGACCTTTTTAATTTGTAAACATATATATCGTTACAGATGTAAACGTTAACCATTGTTAACACATTACATTGTCAAGTTCATTAATGCCATGCCTTATTTTTGGACTTTATAAAATATTAAAATTATGGACTAATAACTGTATAGTGTGATGATGAAGTTAATGAAAACGATTGTTTGCTAAATTATTTTTTATTTTTGAATATTTTAAGGGAATTTTTAACTGGTACAATGTGATTGTACCAGTAATAAATAGTTGAAGAGGTGTGCAAATGAATACGGTGATATAATCAGTAGTTATGAATAACAATGGAGGCTTAGTTTACGATCAGACGTACTTCTTACGTACGCATAGTTCTGGTTTCAGGAACTTTTAATATAAAACAAGAATATGAAATTCTTGTTTTTTGTATTCATGAAACAGCTAATATTCGCATTTCTTTTTACACTTACTATATGACCTTTTATCACATGAATCATTTCAACGATGATGGTTTCAACTTGTTTTCTAATGTCATTATTTTATTCCTAAATAAGTTAATTTTCTCAATTTTGGTTACTTCTCTATGAGCTTTAATCACATTCATCTTTGTAATAATATTCACTAATAAATGTCATCATAAATTCATTGACCTAACGACAAAATTACAATTTTCACTATATTGAAATATTCCTATTAAAATGTACTCAAAATGTACTATTATTAGATAGATTTCAAATGTGTTACTAAAACATGAACGGTAATCACATTATTTTAAATATAAAATTACTAGATTAGTCTTTATTAGATGACAAAATCTTGTCTAAGTTTTCTTAACCTTCATATCTAATAAACGTTAGAAACAAGTTTACGAATACATGAGCGACAATCGCTTTTCCATTATTAATCTCTAAGGGATATCTAAATTCATGAGACATTAATAGGTGCTTAATCACTTGACCTTTGCCGCGGAAAAGTAGTAGATAAAAAATAATGGAAATCAAATTGTGGGTGGCCCTGAAAAGGGCCTTTACTCGTTCTCGCGGTCGGACGTCGTCACTATTAGTTTGTAATGGCGCCACAGATAGGACAGTGCACTGCTCGTACGTTCGGCGATGGGTCGTAGGCACAGAAGGTATGAAACATTGCTTCACATCTACAGAAAACCCAACCAACCGCATCACCGGTTTCACATGGAGGCTGCGCAAGATTACAGATGTCGCAGAGTCGATTCTCGTCATCCTGTTCTTCATTTTCGATGTCCCGTTCAGTTAACTCTTCGGAGTTAATAGAAATTACTTCCTCCTCATCGTTACTGAGCGTTTCATCCAAATCAACAGTTCCTCGTTGTATAAACGGCACTGCTACGTTAGTCGAGGTTCTTGAAAGGGTGTACGAATGCTGTTCTACATGCAAGTTTACTGGCGTTGTTGGTAGTCTACCGTGAACTATGAAGTCATGAAGTGAACTGCATTGTTCCTCCGACATTCGCCTGATTAACGCTATCACTGCATTCTTCATGCTTGGCTGACTCAATTGCATTGGGAAATAATTTTCAACTGCAATATGAGTCAGATAACCATCATAGTGTAACCACCTGTCACAAATTGACTGTACGTTCACATCGGTGTTACTGTGTGTGCAGTAAGCCAATATGTGACGGCATGGTAATCCGTTTTCAATGAAGAATGGACACGAGCACCGGCTAGTATCGACGTGTACGTAGTACGTCCCCGTGGCGTCCATAGCGGTGAATAAATCTTCCGTCAATGCAGACTGCGTTATAGGAATGCGAAGGTGTCGCTTCAGTAGTTGACAGGCAACTGGTGTCAGTCGTTCCTGAAGTCGACGTACTTCCGGCTCCTCACCAATATCGGCTTTCCCCCGACAATCCATTGAATATTTATGTAATCTTGCTTCCATCCAATATCCAGTACGAAGCAGCACATTGAAAATGGATCTGAGAACCGGTGTTTTTCGATTAAGGTGATACATCTTCAAGACTCGGTGACTGGTCTCGACGAAGTTAGTATTGCTCAGTTCAAAGAGAGTGGATGGCGGTCGAAAAGCAGTGGACCATTTGTGTTTCCGTGGTAGAAGGTGGTCTCTGACGTATCTGCCAAACGTTCCGTCCGACATTTCGATTAACGAAAGTACGTTGTTAAAACTACAAAATCATGTTATGTAGATTTTGATTTACCTTTCAACCGTTCGAGTGAACATGAGGCGAAAGAACAGTTGTACAATTTCTGATCGCACCCTCTACAATAACGGTTACTGGGTTAATGTTAATGAACGAAACACTTACCCTCTTTATCACATTCCGAACAAGGTGTACGCGACACAGAATATGGTGTGCATCCGGATACACCTGCGTAATAGCAGCAGCAATTGCAGGTGAATCATCGGTCACAATGCCTACCAGTTGTCGACTGTTGGTACACCGTTGGAAAAAATGCAGGAAGGCAGAAATTAATGTTGACGTTTCGCGACTTAAAAAGGCAATGCACATGGGTATTGCTTTAAAATTCATATCCAGGGCAACGACTTGATATAAATGGACGTTCTCGTTATTCGTTTTGTACGTCCCGTCAAAACCAATTACGTCACAAAAGTGACCGGCCAAATTCACTTGTTCAGCGGTCATGAAGAAGAAATACGATAGACAGTTCTCATCGTCCAATTCGTATTCGCAAAGCCCACCCAAGGATGTTATGTGAGCTTTCAATTTCCCGTAATCACCTATAGTGTACATTATAAATTGGCAAATTCCGTACCAGGAAGGTTCGCGTGTGAGAACACTTTGTACCGCATATTGCAGACATCTTGAGCGGTCAGACATTTGCCATAAGATTGGTAAGCAAAATTCTTTATGTGGAATGCAGCGGTACCGGAAATCAGCAGCGGTCTCACAGTTTCAAACTCCCCATCCGTTAACCTGCGCACCCATGAATTACCCTGGTACCTCAGGGAATTGCACTCGTGATTGTGATGTACATTCCCACGTACAACAGTCCAATAGCCGTCTATAATCTTACAAAACATAAATGCTGGACATTGGGTGTTCATAGAAGCCCTTCGTTCAAAAAATTATA